AGCATCTTAAATGAAAAGGAACAACCAAGAAATTGGAAAATGTGGACATTAAGATGGACAGTAATGCCAACTCTAACCTTTCTCTCTTATTCTCTTATTCTTATACTTTTATTTTGCCATCATTTTTCTTCCATAAAACCTCTGTGGTATGGCAGTGTTAGCAGGTCACACAAAACAATAAAAATTTGTTTACCAGAACCAGGCAAGCATACTGGCATATAACCCTTCTCTACTACGCACAATTATTTCATGGAAATATATGGTTTGCTGTATCTGAAATAGATGTCAGTCTGAGCCTGAATGCCAGGGTTCCAAGTAACACCCCCAACGAAGGAAGACTCCGAAGCTTGAGTTTCCTCAAAGTTCCTTTTTATTGAAGATGTCATATTGACACATCTGGGAAAACCCAAATCTGAAAGTTTCCAGGTTTTCCCCACCAAAGTAAAAGTTCAAATCCCAACACCCTCATGTCCATCACATGGTCCAATCATTCACCATCCAAACTGGAGACACCTCCCAGTCAACGTATGAATTGGTAAATAGATATGATGGAGGCAATAACTAACATCCCCTATTTCATTTTTTTTTCTATTTTGCAAAGCACTGGAAAAATGAAAAGAGTAAGTATGCCTGTAAAATCAGTAACAAAAGATTTATGTATAGTTCAGCTATTACAACATTCTATTAGAAAGGTAACATGATTTCTTTTTTATAAATAATTCTCTTAAAAAGCACAGCAGTTCAGTTTGTGTTGAAATATTTATATATTATAAATATATTATATTTCGCTGATAAAGAAATAAAGGGAGACTAGTATAGATCTATTTCAAGCTATTTAGCTCTCATCAGCTAGCCATACTCTATTGGTTTAAGATCCTACCTGAGAATTTTATTCAATATTATGGTAGAAAGTTCTATAAAGTCAAGACTTGATTTGCAGGACTTGGCCGTACATGAACAAAGTGGTGAGTTATCCGCAACCCTCTTCCATGTATTGCTATGCATTTATAAATCCCAGTTTTCTAGCTGTCACTCAAAAATATCCTTCCAGATGTTTGTTTATTTGTTTGTTTATTTATTTATTTATTTATTTATTTATTTATTTATTTATTAGTTCGATTTATATGCCGCCCTTCTCCGGAGACTCAGGGCAGTTTACAATGCGTTAAGCAATAGCCTTCATACTTGTGTATATACCTGCTTAGTAGTTCAAAGTAACTCTCACAATGCCTTTTCTGGAATGCATTGTGAGAGTTACACACAATGCATTCCATCTATCTGGAATGACTGGAGCCGTAGCCCAAAACAGATGGAGCATGGGTGGGTTCTATTTACCTTTACTACTGGTTCGCAACGGGATCGCGCATGCGCAGATCACCAATGATGACATCCGGGGTGGCGGGCGGGGCGGCCCACCAATTTTACTACCGGTTCTTGCAAACCAGTCCGAACCAGGGGCAACCCACCACTGTTATGGAGGTCACTAGGATTATCTACTTAATTATCAAGGTTGTTATATATCCTTCTCATCTACTTCTCTGATCTCAGGCTTCTGACCCATGCACACTTCATTCAGTTTAAAAATAGAGAGCTTTCTCCTCTTTATTCTTTCTTTCATCTACCTGATGAAGAACACCAAATCTTGCCGTCAGTTTCATTGTCCCTAACAAAACAATAAGAGAATGACCAATATTTACACGTCATCTTTCCTGTATTATCAACAAAGACTGCTACTTAAATCTCTGGATAAAAAAAAAAAGAAATAGCCATTATGCATTCTTGCTTGCATCATGGATGGCATTGAGTAATCCAAAGCAACTGATATGACAATACAAAGTAAAGTCATTTAGAGGGGGCAGAGTGTTGTATGTATACAGTGAACAAAACAAACTTCTGACTATATTTCTCAGGGTTATCTTTCCTCCTGAGACGAAGGTGGATTCTGTTTATGGCTTTTTAACGGCTTAGCTACTACTGATGCTGCTTGAAGGGAAAGATAAGTATCTAGGGGTGTCTACAATAGTCAAAACGGTGGCCACAACCATATGAGCAAAGCAGTGGTGAAATCCAAAATTTTTTACTATCGGTTTTGTGGGCGTGGCTTGGTGGGCGTGGTGTGGCTTGATGGGAGTGGCTTGGTGGGCGTGGCAGGGGAAGGATACTGCAAAATCTCCATTCCCACCCCACTCTGGGGCCAGCCAGAGGTGGCATTTGCTGTTCTCCGAACAACTCAAAATTTCCGCTATTGGTTCTACAAACTGCTCAAAATTTTTGCTACCGGTTCTCCAGAACCTGTCAGAACCTGCTGGATTTCACCCCTGGAGCAAAGCCTTTTCCTTGTAATGTATGTAAAGAGAAAGGGCTAGTTCAATTTTGTGGTTATAGCCACCAACTTGATGTTTTGACTCCCTCCCTGCACCAGTGGTGGGTTTCAAATTTTTTTACTACCAGTTCTGTGGGTGTGGCTTGATGGGCATGGCATGGCTTGGTGGGCATGGCAGGAGAAGGTTACTGCAAAATCCCCATTTCCTCCCAATCAGTTGGGACTCGGGAGGCAGAGAATAGATGGGGGTGGGGCCAGTCAGAATTTTTACTACCGGTTCTCCGAACTACTCAAAATTTCCGCTACTGGTTCTCCAGAACTGGTCAGAACCTGCTGAAACCCACCTCTGCTCTGCACACATTCCTGGGAGCATTCATTCATTGTGAAAAGAACATTTGCTAAAACATGGTAACAGAATCCATGAAATAGATTAGGTTGGCTCTGCTAAAGACTGAGTTAATTGTCAAGTCCTGAATGTAAGTATTTCTGGAATAAAACGAGTTTCATTTCAAAGAGCCGCAGATCTTTTGGGGTGATTTGTTGTTATCTGAGGAAAGAGAGGTGACATTACCCTATTTTCCCCTTCTGAGTGTGAACGGACAGTCACTCGTGTTCTTTGTGGGGGAGGTTTTTTTGCAAAAAGAAAAGAGAAGGAAAAGAATGAACTAGTCTGCAATAGTACCTTCACACATTTCTCACTAGAAAATAATGTGATCTGCTGAGTTTCTGACCACTATAATATCAGTATGATCAACATTTATTTATTTATTTATTTATTTATTTATTTATTTAGTTATTTAGTTATTTAGTTATTTAGTTATTTAGTTATTTAGTTTTGGTCAAGCATATATAAGATAACAGGTAAAAGTATAAACATAATTTGAATACATGAAAAAAGTAAGTAAAAAGGAATATTAGGACAGGGACGGTAGGTGCTTAGGCACTATTTTTATATTTTTATTAATTTTATGCACTGTTTGTAACTTATGCACTTACAAATTCTCATTTGTAAGCATCTATAAAGAAGCTTAGCAGTTATTGGAGGTATTATGGTGGGGAGGAAGAATTTCCTCCTCACCATAATAATACTTGGAAATTCCAAGTTTCTCTTGGAACGTAAGTTTAAATGCTAGATGAATCCCAGTCCAGAAAATGGTAAGCCAACCACATCTCCAGAGCATTTCCCTTTATCTCTTGTTGAATATGCCCAAGAAGCCTCTGTGCAGCTAAACAAATCTTATCAAAAAGTTGAGAATGAACCAGGGGTGAAATCCAGCAGCTTCAGAGAACCAGTAATGGAAATTTTGAGCAGTTCAGAGAACTGGCAAATACTACCTCTGGCTGGCCCAGAGTGGGGTGGGAATGGAGATTTTGCAATATCCTTCTTCCTGGAGTGGGGCGGGAATGGAGATTTTGCAGTATCCTTCTCCTGCCATGCCCATCAAACCACACCCACCAAGCCACACCACGCCCACCAAGCCACGCCCACAGAACCGGTAGTAAAAAACATTGGATTTTACTACTGGAATGAACCAATATTCTTGCTAATGTTATACAACCATTAAAATTGAACAGATCTTTTAGAGAATAGGGCTGAGAATTTTTAATCTGTTGCCTGGGACTTGTTGTCTAGGTAGCACGCATAGGTTGAGTTCATACAACACCCTAAATTCAGGAGTTTGGATTGTTTCTTTATATTTTTATTTATTTATTTATTTATTTGTTTGTTTGTTTGTTTGTTTGTTTGTTTATTTATTTATTTATTTATTTAATTATTTAATTAATTAATTAATTTTTATACCGCCCTTCTCCAACAGGACTCAGGGCGGTGAACAGCCATGGTAAAACATAACATATAAAATTTAAAAGCAGTTTAAAAACATTAAATAATTTTGGCTATCCATTTAAAACAACCTGGATTAAAACCAATTACAAATTAAAACCGAGGGGATGGGATCAAGCCAGCCTGGCTAGGTGAAAAAGATGTGTTTTCAGGGCCCAACGAAAAGTCCGGAGGTCTGGTATCGTGCGTATCTCTGGGGGTCGGTCGTTCCAGAGGGCAGGTGCCGCCACAGAGAAGGCTCTCCCACTGGGGGTCGCCGGCCGACATTGTCTGGCCGACGGCACCCTGAGGAGTCCCTCTCTGTGGGAGTGTACTGGCCGGTGGGAGGCTATTGGCGGCAGAAGGCGGTCTCGTAAATACCCCGGCTCTAAGCCATTTTATTCATCCAACCTCAGCTTCGGAGGTACAATGTCAGAAGCATTCCAATGGCATTGCATTCAACCTTGCTGTTTTCCAGTTGTGTTACAACCAGAAAGGATTAGTGTTAAGCCATTGATGGAGCAGTAAAAACTACTCCCTGCTTTATATTAGGTTGTCTTCAACCCCAGTCTGATATTCTGGCTAGAGATTATAGATGACTAGTTCAAAGGAACTGAAGCCCCTTTGAAGGGGAGAATGATCTCCAAGCCAATACAAAGCCTATTTCGTATTCCAGAATTACTAGAAAGCCAACTATTGAACATACATTTCTGTAATGCCCCCATTGTTCACAGTAAACAGACATACAAAAGTAAGAGCAATCGATCATAATAAAAATGGACTTGCTAACTTTATCAAGCGCAATACAAATAACAAATTAAAGAGCTAAGGAGGCAGTGGGATGTGTTTCCTTACCAGCTTGCTTTTCTTATCCATGTTGCGGAAGGGTCTTCACCGGCCTTTTTAGCTTTCTGCTCTCCTGCAGAAGTTTTTCCTCTTTTCACATGGACGGAATACACAATCTTTGTGTTGTTTTGTCCCCTGGGTTGTGTTTTTTTTTGAGAGGGATCCAATGCAGCTGAAGTCCTGGTGCCAGCTGTCCTCAGCAGACAATGGTTCAATTGGAAGTTGTCTTCTAAACAAAGGAGCTGTTCCTAGGAACGACTGATTCACATCGTTCTCCCCACCACAGAACATCAAGAGCACATGCTACATATATCCTTTCCCTGAAATATATCATCACTTCCCCCAAATCCTGCCAGGCAAGCTTAATTAGTTTAACCTCCAGCTACTATGCTTAGGAGAGCCTCTTCTGTCCCAAGGTAACTAAACACTGTCAGCCAGATTCCAACAAAATGACCTTTGGAAGAATTGCTCTAAGCAATTTTTTTTTTTTGCCAGATTGCCTAAACTTATCAACAGCCTCAACTGAAAAAGTGCAAACCCTACATTTCTGCATGTTTCAGCATTACACCAAAGCAAAGGTGCCTCAGATTCTCTAATCCAGTGTCTCTCAACCTTGACCCCATGCAGAAGTGTGGACTTCAATTCCCAGAATTCCCCTGCCAGCATTGATGGTTGGGAAATTCTGGGAGTTGAAGTCCACCCATGTTCAAGCAGCCAAGGTTAAGAAACACTGTTCTAATCTAATTCATTGCACATTCATACATGTATTCCTTCAAATGCCAGCCTTATTTTTTGGAATGGCCTTCTCTGTCAAGCAGGCTTAAAGCTGCAGACAATGTATACTTGCTAGAAGATCAATCACTCTCAATGAAATATGTGAGCTTTAGTCCACAAGCAACACGCACAGTTATTACCCTGTGGCTGTTTTCATAAACACATTAACTCATGGTTTATTGAATTAAATCTGTCGGCTAGACTTGTCCCACATAGAATGCTTGCATGCTTCACCGAATGTGCAATACAGAAATGGTGATAGACTTTAGGAGAAACCCTTCCATACTTCCACCTCTCACAATACTAGACAATATAGTATGAACAGTAGAGACCTTCAAATTTCTAGGTTCTACCATATTGTGAGATCTAAAATGGACAACTAACATCAAAAACGTCATCAAAAAAGTACTACAAAGAATGTTCTTTCTAGGTCAACTCAGAAAGCTCAAACTGCCCAAGGAGCTGCTGTTACAGTTCTACAGAGGAATTACTGAGTCTGTCATCTGCACCTCTATAACTATCTGGTTTGGTTCTGCTACCTCTACCTCCTGAGCACCGAGATCCCCCCCCCAAAAAAATACATTTAGGAATGATATCTAAGTGCAACAAGGAGCTTCAGAGGAATTTCCTTGGACTTAGCAGTTAGTGTGGAAAGTTAGTTGGAAAGAGGCTTCTTCTTTAAGGAAATGTTAACAATACAGAGGATATGCCACATCTGCTCCAAAGTCCTTTTTCAGCTTCTGATGACCAACAATGCAAACAATTCCGAAAACGGACACTGGTATGGGAGATACTTGGGAGTTAAGGTTCCCCAGGGGAGTCAGTCATTCAGAGAATAGAATAGAATAGGATAGGATAGGATAGGATAGGATAGGATAGGATAGAATAGAATAGAATAGAATAGAATAGAATAGAATAGAATAGAATAGAATAGAATAGAATAGAATAGAATAGAATTCTTTATTGGCCAAGTGTGATTGGGCACACAAGGAATTTGTCTTGGTGCATATACTCTCAGTGTACGTAAAAGAAAAGATACGTTCTTCAAGAATCATAAGGTACAACGCTTAATGATAGTCACAGGGTACAAATAAGCAATCAAATAATATTAGGAAACAGTCAACATAAATTGTAAAGATACCAGCAACAAGGTTACAGTCATACATAACATCAACAAACAATTGTGGCTTAGCACAGATCATAAGCAAGATCATAATCCTGAAGCAAGATTTTTCATGAAACTGAGGTAAAGGTACCAAAAATTAAATTCAAGAAGTTGGATGGTGGAACCCTTTTTGACTGCAGGTCTGCAGGACTGCACAACCCCTTCACAGGAGCCACGTGGTGTGGTATGAGAGCATCTACTGACTGCAGAAGGCTGAGGATTTCTGGCCTAGCATATTGTGTAGAGCCAGCTTCAATGGACTGGCAAAGTATGAGGTGTCCTTGGCACTCTCTGAGCTTGGTTGTTTTCTTGGAGACATTTTATCCCCTAAACCAGTGTTAGGTTCTAATCAGTTTTACCACTGGTTCACATCACGCAAGCGCATTGAGTAAAAAAACAGCTGAGGCAAGGCAATCCACTCTGCCGTGCTTAACAGCTGACCAAAAAACAAAAGAAATAAAGGTAGGTATAGCGCGGGGGCGGTGGGGGAGGGCCCAACTGATATTCAAAGCGAACCGGTTCGCTCTCCTATGAAGATTTCCACTACCGACTCTCCTGAACCAGGGAGAACCAGTAGCAACCCACCACTGCCCTAAACTAGGTAACATCAGCAGTACCTAGAGATAGTTTAGGTAATGAAATGTCTGCAAGAAAACAACCAAGTTCAGAGAGCGCCAAGGACAACTCATCGGTTGCCATCCTCTCATTTCAACCCTAAGGTACAAATAGTCTCCTTTATCGATTGGCATAGCTGAACCTTAAGAGCAGCAGGTTGACTGTCTTGGTGGTGCAGTGTTTAGAGTGCAGTAGTGCAGGCTACGTCTGCTGACTGCCGGCTGCCTGCAATTTGGCAGTTCGAATTTCACTAGGCTCAAGGTTGACTCAGCCTTCCATCCTTCCAAGGACAGTAAAATGGAGGACTCAGATTGTTGGGGGCAATAGGCTGACTCTGTAAACCGCTTAGAGAGGTGGTATTCAGCCGGTTTGGGTGAACTGGTAGCAGAAAGATGAACTGGTAGCAGAAATCTCGGGTGGGTTCCCCCCCTCCTACCACCAGCTCTATGCCATCCTATTTAGGCACCTTTTTGAGGCTGGGCGCATGCGTGGAAGGTTTGTGTGTGAGCAAAGCACATGCGTGGAAGGCCGGGTGCATGCATGGAAGGCATGCGTGCGAGCAAACCACATGCACGGAAGGCCGGGCACAGGTGTGGAAGGCGTGCGCGCGGTGGCGAACCAGTGGTAACAAAATGTGAAACCCACTGCTGGCTGTAAAGCATTGTGAAGCGGTATATAAGTCTAAGTGCTATTGCTATTACTATTATTAGAACTCCACATTGCCATCCCAAAGCAAGGAAGGTCTCTATAGCCTTTAGCAAAACTTCTATGTTCTCTCCGAGATTTGGGATTTGTGCTGAAGTGTAGTATTGTGCTTGCTCAAGTCTGCAACTGATTGTAAATGGTTGGGTGAGGCACACACAGTGCAGGGTAGGTGGGACATGGGTGAAGAGTTCATGACATTGAGCAAACGTCCTTCATTTGTCATTGACAGTTACAGAGAGTGTCTTGACTAGGAGACCATTGAAAATTCTGAATCAAGGGGACTCGTATAGATTACTTGAGAAGAGAGGGAAAAGATTAGATAAGACTGACTATGTTTTCCTGGAACTATCAGAAGCCAGTATTATTCCACTCTCTCTAGGTTGGCCTCCTGCTTCCTTGACCTGGGATGCACTGGCAAAATTTTGCACAATAAAACTCATACTGAGATCCAGAATGCTTAAGCAAATTCCAATCTAGAGAAGAGCTATAACTTGCCTTGAGGGCAGCTGTAATATTCGTCAGAAATGCATTCCTCTATCCAAACCATAATTTCAGAATGTCTTCAGAATGTTCAAAAAACAATTCCTACCAACCTGCCTTCCATTGAGGACCTGTATACTGCACGAGTCAAAAAGAGGGCTGTGAAAATATTTACAGACCCCTCGCATCCTGGACATAAACTGTTTCAACTCCTACCCTCAAAACAACGCTATAGAGCAATGCACACCAAAACAACTAGAAAACAAGAACAGTTTTTTTCCTGAACGCTGCTAAACTCTACTAAACAAATAATTCCCTCAACACTTTCAAACTATTCACTAAGTCTGCATTACTATTACTATTAATCTTCCCATCGTTCCTATCACCCATCTCCTCCCATTTATGATTGTATGACTGTAACTTGTTTTGTAGTATGATTCGATTGCTTATTTGTACCCTGTGACTATCATTAAATGTTGTACCTTATGATTCTTGATGAGTGTATCTTGTCTTTTTATATATACTGAGAGCATATGCACCAAAGACAAATTCCTTGTGTGTCCAATCACACTTGGTCAATAAAGAATTCTATTCTATTCTATTCTATTCTATTCTATTCTATTCTATTCTATTCTATTCTATTCTATTCTATTCTATTCTATTCTTATTCTATTCTATTCTATTCCATTCCATTTCATTCCATTCCATTTCATTCCATTCCATTCCATTCCATTCCATTCTATTCTATTCTATTCTATTCTATCCAGGGTTAATTATCAACACAGTTTCCCCAGATTTGGTGCTAATCTGAAATCAAGGACCTGTGAGATTATGGAAAGAAGAAAAAATACTCTGTTTGCAGTGATATGCAAGGAAGGAACAATGAAATGAAATCATGGTTGCGTTTTTCATGCTAAGCTAAAAGAGAGAGAGAGAGAGAGAGCACAAAACAGAATTCTTCCATTGAATAGGCCCAAGCCTTCTCATCCTTTAAACTGAACAGAACTCTTCAACCAAGCCTAGCTGCAAAATATGATTGCCACGTGTAGTTTCTAGATTTGGGGCTTATAAGATAAGATAAAGTCTCTTTCAAGTCAAGTTGTCCTTTCTACCAACTCCCTTGTGCTGTGAGCACAGCCAAAGAAAGGGAGCAATTAAAGGAATGAGTCAGACTCCAGTGGGCCCCTCCCATGTTAATATTACTCTATAAGCATTATTGGAACCGTATGAGTAGGTTCTTCCAAGGCTGTCTAATTAGTATATGGAGCAGGACAACAATGTGAGACCTCTAGTAGAGTGATGGTGAACCTATGACACATGGGGTCAAACGGGATACACCACAACGCTTTGGGTGACGCACAGGCGTTCACCAACACTCAACAACAATTATTCTCAAAGTATGCCCTGTACTTGCACGATTTTCAGAGGCTCCAGAGGTCTAGAGCCTCTGAAAATCACAAGGAAGCAGGCCCTGCTTTCATGCGGTTTTTCAGAAGGTGCAGAGACCACGGAAGAGCCAGGTGGCACCAGTCTACAAAGCAAGAATCCATGGGTTCAAGTCCCACCCCAGATATGAAAGACAGCTGGATGACTTTGGGCCAATCACCAGGAGACTATGAGTTCTAGTTGTGCCTTAAGGCATG